GAAGTGGCCTTCTGTTACTAAATTGGCTTCGAATTACTGCTTATTATTGTAAAACCTCTACCAAGTTAATAGTCAGCGTTCTGCATAGAACATCCATACACCCTTTGGCATGTATTCTTGAATTAACACTGATCGGAGATTTAAATAGAACTATTTTTTGTAATAGCAGTCCTCGCAATGACTTAGTAAGTTGGCCAACAAATCAACATCGAAATAATTAAAAGGCCACACAATTGATGGCAATTGCTGAAACTATCTGCTAATTACTCCAGAATCTCTTACAAGTGTTCTTGATACTACTATGAATTATGATACCTATAAACGCTGATGGGAGGTTTCTGATGTTGATTTAATTTTATGATTAATAAGCAATATTTTTTAGTGGTATACTACAGAGGCCAAAACATACAGTTCAATTGACGTGTGCATAATTTTCCGGGAGTTTATTGGAAGTTTGGAAGTTAAACTTGTACAAGCTTTTCGATATTGTTTATATTTTTTCCAAATGCCAGACCCTCAAAACATGTTTTGCAGGTCTTGCAAATGTAGTCCATGTTATTGGGTAAATCTTCCGTTATTTCTTCGCGATAGTCACAAGTGTAATGAAGCCATCTTTTACACAATTCGCAGTAGTGCATAGCTATTCCGTTGTCATATGTTTCGTTACAAATAGGGCATTTGTTGTGATCAATAATTAAATTTTCTATAATTAGCATCTGAATAGCATTCCTTTTTTCGGATGGATTTACAGGAATGAATTCATTTTTTAAGTAGCATTCCGCATTATGCATTACGATAATACCACAGTTGTGACCATCACTCTGTTGCTGACCACATGCTTCACTTATTATCCAATCTACAGATTGTAATCTATGGGCAATAGAAATGCCGCATTTTGCATAGTAATCCAATGCTTTCTTGAAGCTGTTGAGCAATGATCTTGTATTTAATTTATGATCATAAGCAAGCGAATCATAGCAATAGAACGAGTTTTTGGTAACGTCTATTATTACTAAGTAAAAATGACCTGGTTTGTGAACAGGAGCAATAATTACATTATAGCTCAAAATCTGCTCAACTCTTGCATATAGTCTTCCTAAATTCTTCAGAGGGAAGCTTTCCATGAAAAGCTTATTTCTGGATTCATCGATCGACAAACAAATGAAATCTTTTCTTGGAAGCGATTTCAACAACAATTTAAGCCCTATTTCTAAAACATCGTCAGACAGCCATTTGTTGTCTTTGAGTGTTTTCAAACTTTGTACGGACAACGGATAACATTGTTTGCTTTTCTCGTTTTCAATCATAACACTTAGATTGACAGTGTCGTTGAAGCACATGTAGTAACTAGGATATTTTATTGCCATATTCTCAAAAAATAGGGTTTCTCGTTTCAATGTAACGCCATCCAAAGAAATATCTCTAACCGAAGATCCATCCTCTTATGGTAAAGAAGATTTATTCATTAGAGACAATGACGTTGAGCGGATAGTATCTGTTGAAATATTATTATTCAAGTACAACTTTGGTGCACTATCTGGTAGCTTAACGTCAAAGAGAGTGTGTGACGACCCTAGTTTTTTATCTTCCATGAAGGAAACCGCATTTTGACGTCTGCGTTTAAATGTATTAGGCGTGTATAAGAAGTCATGAATCTTATCAAATTCTTCTTCATTACACTCCTCAACTGTTGAAAGATTAGGCTTTCGTTTAATAGCCACTCTCTTAATGGGTGTAGATGCTTTCTTACTAGCAGGACTAGTTTCAGGAGAAACGCGCCTGCTTTGCAGTGCAGTTGTAGGCACTTGTTTTGCATGCACTTCTGCACTTAGGAAATGGTCTTTTTCAAAATGATTAATAACTCTGATGATCTTTTTTCTACCGTGGCCTAGTTTCAAGCTCATCGTTTCAAGATATTGCTTAATCTCCGAAAATTTACCTTCAATGGCGGCATTGCTTTTCCTGATTGTTTTATCTAGTTCAGGATCAATACCAACAGCTTCGCTGAAAATGGGTATCCAAAGTGGAAGTAGATACAAGTATCTTTTCATGAAAGTTTCTAAAAATTTCATGCGCTCAGAGAAGTTTTGACATTTTGTTTGAATTTCATTAATAACTTTATGCAATATTGTCAAAGCATCCTGGAAGAAAGGGCTTTGTTTGTATTGACTGTCATTGTGCTTGTCAATATTGTCAACATTTTTTTCAGGTTCAATGTTCAGTAAATCAAAATCATTTTCATTGATTGAACTTGATTTTAAGAATGCATAAGCATCTTTGTAAATTGCATCTTCTTCAGAACTCAAAAGAAATAAGCACACGTTGAACCAATATTTTTTCAATGATTCATAGCTTTCAATATGAAACATTCTTGCCACAATAATTTTGACCGTTGTCCTCAACTTACATTCTACACCCACAAATGATTCATCTACCAATTGATATTGTTTTTTGGTTAGATGAGCATCGCAAAGATAAATTACGCAGACGTCTTTTAAAGTATTGCGTTGTTCCTCTAGGGTGAAAGATAACCATTCATAACATTTTTTAATGTATTCGGACAAGTTCGTTTTATTGAACGTCATACACAGAGCATGAATATTTCAAGAGCAAATTTTCATTATGTCGTAAGTAACATTCGCACAAATCCGAGAAAAATAAAGTTTTGTTTTGATGACCGAAAAGTTATTCCTATTTCCAAGTAAACTCATATAATCTCATAGTGATAGCAATGTTTAACATATTTAGCAGGGTTTTAATCATACAAATGCAAATCGCTAGCTTTCATGCTAAAAAATACTGGTTTTTGAGTCAAAAGTTATTATACGTCGTTTGGTGGCCCCTATAGTTACTTAAGTCAAAGTGTATTTGCCAGGATATTCGGGAGAATTATCAATTACGTCTCTTTACGTGCAGCCCATTCATCATTTTAGGACCACCGAAATCATCTTAGCAACAAACAGTTCGATTTATTCACTTTAATAATGAAAAAGCGAAACGACGAACGTACACTTTTCACGGGTTTCTCAGCGCTGTTACTTAAGTCAAACGGCATCTCCATAGAAATTGGGTGACTTAAGTAACATCGAAAACTATTTTGATCGGAAGGTGATTACGTCAAAAAGCAATTTGACTGGTAAATAAATTTAAAAATGGGATTTGATCCTATATTCGGACAGTATATAGTGTAATAGCAGGAGAATCGATTGACACTGATAGCTCGACTTTGTTTACTTATGTTACATTCGACGTAATGAAAATTTGCTCTTGATTTGCTCTTGAGTTGTCGGTAACAATTCCACTAAACGGTAGTCCATCGTGCTTATGGCGCTTCATGTATGAAGCCAAATAATACCCTAGCCCAGCTTGTAATGTAATAGCATGCACGTCATGTCCTGCATCGGAATACATTCTGACTCCAAAGGGACGAAACTCTCCACCTTGTACGAATCTTGGATTGGATTCGTCGTATTTAATTTCAAGGGCTTTGATGAGGTCTTCAGGGCCATCATTTTCAGCTAATGCCTTATGTCTGGCATATCGAATCATGTTGGAAGATTGGGCTTCGGTGCAATTTTTCGTATCTTCAATTGAATCATCAACTTTAACTACCTGTTGTTGACGAATTTGTTTCGGAAGCTCTAGGAGTGTTTGTTTTTTCAAACGCTCCATGGCCAATCCTTTGCAAGGTTGAGACATTTTCTTCTCATGATTAATTTGGTTCTGATTAACCAGTACATCAAAAGTAAGGCCATTTGCTTGTGGAAGAGTGGCAACATACTTAAAAAGTCTGCATGGCTTTACTGGCGTATGATGCTTGCAGTAGCCATAAATTGTGATCGACCCTTTACTGTGGGATTGATTTGCCACACAGTAAATGCAGTTCCTCTCAAATTCGTTCATTTTGTCTCTCAACAAAACTGGGTATATTAGTTTATCAAAAAGACCACCTCTTTGAGGCTTATTCTTTTTGATGCTGTGCGCATGTTGATCAATATAGCACATTTTAATATCTTCTTCACTAAAATGTATTGTAGTGAGGTGTCTCCAGTTATTGGAAACCGAATCCCAACAAACTCCAGCCAGATATGACTTTGGATACTTCCTCTTTATCATATCGGTAGGGAGCTCGTTTTCAAATTCTTGGTACTTTATGTCCGCATTTTGAATGTTGGGTTCGCAGGCTTTCAAACAGTCATCGCACATGAACTCTGCCAGATCGATTTGGCCATTGTCCAAAACTTGCACTGTTTTGTTACAAAACGAACAAATTCTGTTAACACGATTTTCAAAAATCATGTGTTCAACAATTCTTTCGTGAATTGAGCGTCTCCAGGAATCTGCGCTTATTATGCCTTGATCTCCCTCACTCTTTAGCAGTTTCATGAACCGCTGAGCGTTGAAAGCAACAAAAACACCACAATTGTATCCATCGATTTGCTTCTCGCTATTGAGATTACCAATGGTCCATGGTTTTGCACTGAGTTCTTCAGCTATATCAACTCCCATGCTACCAAAATGTTTCAGTGATTTTTGTAAACTACTCAAGTAGTTCGCTTTCAGATTCTTTAACTGGTTTCCACTCAAATTTTTGGAATCCAAATAATGAAAAACGGCTCGGTTTACATCAATTATAACCAGAGAATAATGGTTCGGTGTATGGATGGGGCAAAAAATTACATCATACACTAAGATGCTAGAAACAATGTTTTTGGCATCTTCACCACACATTTTTCTAAACAGCGTTTTCGTTTCAAATACGGTGAGTGCTACGTAATTGATATCAGAAAACTCTGACAAAACGATTTTGAGGCCAATTTCAACAGCACTCGCATATAGCAACTCACGATCATAAAGAGATTTGAAATCGAGACCGCAGATTTCAAGCTCTTTATCATTGCACCGAATTTTGAAGAACTCATTATCGTCAAGGTTCCGATACATGTCCAAATTAGTGGACTTAAGTGAAACAGGTTTTTTTCCTGTTACTTGTAAATTACCCTCCTCCTGATCCCATGCCATGTTCAGCATGGCATCTGATGTCTCCAAGGAACCAGTTTCGCAGTCCAAGGACATCTTCTCAATTTCCTCCACCTCCGGTGGCGGATTTACCGCAGCATCAAACGACTGTGACGCCACTTTCATTTTGTCACAGCCAACCTCTTCCTTCTCTTGACTCGCAAGAGAAATGTCATAGTCAATGACAACGACTCTTTTCTCCCCGGCCTGGTGGGTCTCCTCTGTCTGGTGGGCCTCCTCACCGCTCTGCAGCACCTCTTCCTCGCACCCTGCTGGACCTCTTCGGCACCTTGCTGGGTCTCATCGTTGCCCTTCTTCACCTTTTCGGTCTCCCTGCCCTGGTGAAGCCCCTCGCCACTCTGCAGCACCTCATCCTCGCCGCCCTCATTCATGGTCTGCTGAGCCTCTTCGACACCCTGCTGGGTCTCACCACTCTGTTGCACCTCGCCGTTGCCCTTACAGGCCTCCGTGTGGCGCTTCATTGTCTCCACGTTGACCTGGTGGGTATCCTCGACGTGGTGGGCCCCCTCGCCACTCTGCTGCTCCTCTTCCTCAGCCTTTTGGGCCTCTCTGTCCTGGTGGCCCCCCTCGCCACTCTGTTGCTCCACGTCATTTCCCTTCCTAGCTACCGTGCGGCCCTTCCTAGCCTCCGCACGGCACTTCCTGCCTTCCACAAGGCCCTTCATGACCTCCGCGTGGCTCTTTCTGGCCTGCTGGGCCTCTCCGACATCCTGCTGGGTCTCGTCGTTACCCTTCTCCCTGTCCGGGTCCCCCGCACGGCCCTTCATGGCCTCCGCTTGGCCCTTCATGGCCTCCTTATCGCCCTTTTGGGCCTCGTCACCATTCCTGGCCTCCGCTTGGCCCTTCCTGGCCTCCGCTTGGCCCTTCCTAGCCTCCGCTTGGCCCTTCCTGGCCTCCGCTTGGCCCTTCCTGGCCTCCGTTTGGCCCTTCCTGGCCTCGTTATCGCCCTTTTGGGCCTCGTCACCCTTCATGGCCTCCGCTTGGCCCTTCCTAGCCTCCGCTTGGCCCTTCCTGGCCTCCGCTTGGCCCTTCCTGGCCTCCGCTTGGCCCTTCCTGGCCTCCGCTTGGCCCTTCCTGGCCTCGTTATCGCCCTTTTGGGCCTCGTCACCTTTCATGGCCTGCTGGGCCTCTTCGGCATCCTCGTCCTGTTGGTCCTTCGCATCACCTTGCTGGGCTTCCTCGCAGCCCTTTCGATCTTCTTCACCCTGATGGCCCTTCTTGGCATTCAGGGTATTCCCTGCTCTCCTGACGAATGTTCTCATCAGGCTGCTTAGACGCTTCTTATTGCGTCTAAGAACATCTTCCCTGGTCGACATTCCGGCAGCGTCGTACGCATCGTCATCCAGAAGCACATCCGGATTATGCATCCAGTCTTTTCCGTACTTCGATGAGCAGTACAGCTGCACGCTTGCGATCTCGTGGGGCTTGACCTGATGTTTCACCATTCTGCAATTGTCATATAACATTTTTTTTTCAAAAGAAATGAAAAATTAATGCTATTTAATAAATGTAGAATTTTAAGAAAACAAATGCAAATATATTTAAATGATGTTCGCACTTTTAAATTTACACCAACCTATTTGGAAAATTATCAGTGAACAAGTGGAAACAAGTTTCGGTCAGTATGAGCCTTCACACTAAATACAAAAACATACCAAACCCACTACGCGACACATATTAACTGGAGCTGTATCTTTCATCCTAAATTGGCCTCATTGGCCACTATGCATTGTGAAATAAAGCAATTAAAAGTTGAGGCAATTAAAAACATTTTATTTTTAATGTCACAAATACAACAATGACATCGGACTACATTGTAACAAAACACAAACTTTCGTAGAAGGGATCAAAAAAACAAAACAGTAGGTAAAAATTTAAAAATCATTCTCGTGCGACACCCCACATGCGTTTATAAAGTTTCTGAAGAAACTATTTTCCAATAACTAAATGCTATTGAAAACAATCACCTTACCATGTTTTGACCATAATAGAATTCAGCGTACCGAAAAAGGTGTATTTAATTTAAATTGTTACCATTGCAAAAAGTTACCGAAATTGTTTCTTATTACCCCTGTGTCTTATTACCCCATATTTCTCTAGCTTTTGAAATAAAAATAAATTATTATATTTATTATTAATTATTAAACGGATAGTATAACCACAAACGAAGTGACAGACGGAGCGGCTCGAAAACTTTGGTGACTAACAATTTTTCAGTGTACCACATGGCAACACCACTACCACTGGGTTGTACCACATGGCAACACTACTACTGGATTGCACTAGCATTTTCACCAAAAGTACTAGAATGTTTTAGTTCTATCTGTTTCACTCTATTTAAAACTGGAATGCATAAAAAAATGACAAAATGATACGCACTCTTTGCACACTGTCAAAGAATCATTGTACACAAAATCAACTTTGTGCAAAATCAAAACAAAAATACTATCCCATCTGGTGGATGATGGCACAAGCTTCTAAGAAAATTATATTACAGCGAACCACATTATTTTAATTGATTTCTTCGCCAGTTAGTCGTCTGTCACTTCGTTTGTGGTTGAAACGGTTGACGTGACAGTCTGTTATTTAGTATTCGTACACTCATGCTCTATGTCGTTTCTCTCGCACAACACGTTTTAATTCCTAAATTTGTCGTGATCGTTTTCCCATTCCTAACATAACAAGCAGTTCCCCCTTGGACCCTTCCTTATCGACCCATCAACTCATGAACCGGGGACAAACGGCTTTGCTTCCCCCTTTAAGAAGGCGTGATCAGAGATGTTATGCCTCAGAACATCCCGGCGGCGCCGTTTGGGATTGAACCCAGGCCTTTTGGGGTAAGAGGTAATCACGCTTACCGCTACACCACCGGTGCCGCTTAGCATATGTACATTATAATAGAATAATGTCGTTTTCGTTTTTGCGGTGTAGCACCGGTGTAGTGTAAGCAGGAATAGGCGTGAGTTATTGACAGCTCAACATCATTTGTTTGTAAACAAAGGTGCATCCTATATCTACACCTTTAATTATTTCGGTGTACGGCAGTGTAGCACCGGTGTAGCTACACCGCAAAAACGAAAACGACATAACAAGAGCAAATTTTCATTACGTCGAATGTAACAAAGGTACACAAAGTCGAGGTGTCAGTGTCAATCGATGCTCCTGCTATTACACTATATACTGTCCGAATATAGGATCACATCCCATTTTTAAATTTATTTATCAGTCAAATTGATTTTTGACGTAATCACCTTCCGATCAAAATAGTTTTCGATGTAACTTACGTCACCCGATGTCTATGGAGATGCTGTTTGCTTTAAGTAACAGCACTGAGAAACCCGTGAAAAGTGTACTTTCGTCGTTTCGCTTTCTCAGTATTAAAGTGAATAAATCGAACTGTTTGTTGCTAAGATGATTTCGGTGGTCCTAAAATGATGAATGGGCTGCACGTAAGGAGACGTAATTGATAATTCTCCCGAATATCCTGGTAAATACACTTTGACAAGTAACAATAGGGGCCACCAAACGACGTATAATAACTTTTGACTCAAAAACCAGTATTTCTTAGCATGAAAGCTAGCGATTTGCCTTTGTATGATTAAAACCCGGCTAAATATGTTAAACATTGCTATCACTATGAGATTATATGTGTTTAATTGGAAATAGGAATAACTTTTCGGTCATCAAAACAAAACTTTATTTTTTTCGGATCGGTGCGAATGTTACTTACGACATAATGAAAATTTGCTCTTGATAAGATAAATATAAAATCGTGAAAAAAATTCGCATTTGAAAGTGAATCAAATCACACTGATCTATGTGAGTAGCGGTAGCTCTAGAGACGAAAACTTAGTATGCAGAAAAAATGTACTTACCTGCGTTTCGTTTTCTTTCCCACTCAAATTGAATTTCGCACTAAAAATTAAAAATAAGCACAAATTAAAACTATAAATCAACACACCGCGAGACAAAATTTTTATCTTCTTACCGCTGACCAACAATACGAAGTTTTGAAAGATTTTGGACTGTACACTCTAATTTGCGAGTACCTTATTTTTTTTTTTAATTTACCCTCTATTTACACAGAGACAAAAAAATAATTCAAAAGTGAGTATCGTTTACTTCGTTTATTGCTCATAAAAATGAGTTCATGAGTTCGCAAATTTGAGTAAGAATGTATCCTGCTCTTCCTGGAAAAAGTTATCGAATATGCGGGAGGACTATTTAACTCAGCCTCGAGAAGTTCTTCCTGCACAATCCGGGGAATTCTTACTAAAAAATGGGAGATCCACTTTTTGCCACTACACACCGGTACTCACTTTTAGGTTCACACTATTTCAAAACTACCCAAATTTGGGTAGAATCCACCCAGATTGGTCAAAACTGAACCTACTGGACAACATCGATATGAATTTGTTTATTTGTCAACTTGTCACTACCAACATAGTTTATCCATTTTTGGGTAGGTTCAGTTTTGACCGATCTGGGTGGATTCTACCCAAATTTGGGGAGTTTTGAAATAGCTTGTTAAATCAGTTTGTTTATTTCGATTTACTCCACTTTGGGTGTAAAGGTAAACTTACATTTGTGAGATTTGATCTTACCGTGATCTGCACATTTTGTAAAAGTGTGTAAATGGATCTAACTTTTGAGTTGGTTTCCTTGTCCGTGAAATATTATAAACATTTGTACCGTTCAATATTCCTTGAACACGATCACGGACAATTAACAAATCCAAGTTTGAATCGGCCACCGTGGCACTGCAATCACAGCGGTGATGAGTCCGAAATCATGTGTCAAACAGAATAAATTTTTGAAATTGTGACCAAACAACTATTAAGTTTCTGTCGGTGTATAAATCAACAGATTAAATCGGTTTTCGTCTGGTGATACACCGAGCAATCGGCCTATTTAATAGTTTTTCGTCGATGGATTTTGTTCGCCTACTTTGTCTGCTGTTTAATCGGAAGATGACTTCAAACCTCTACATGTTTTTGTGTAATTTAAAGGTCTTGAAGTAGCTTTTTATTTAGGATAAATGCACTACAAAACAGTTTTATATATTTTGTACAAGATTCATCCATTCTATCAAGAAATTTGCATAAAATTGCATTGAAATTAATCAATTTAGCAAACAATCACCGAAATAAATTGTCAAGGGCTGTCACAGACTTATCACCGTCAGTTAGTGTTTATTCCTGCCACCTGGAGCGCAGGAGTATAAGTTGGATTTCTGAATTGAGAAATCCAACTTAAACTCCTGCGCGCCTGGTGGCAGGAATAAGCACTAACCGACGGTGATAAGTCTGTGATAGCCCTTGACAATTTCATTGATTGTTTGCAAAATTGTTTAATATCAATGTAATTTCATGCAAATTCCTTGTCAGCATGGATGAACCTTGTACAAAATGCATTAAATTAATTTTTAAGTGGCAATAGATTTAGTCGGTGGACGAATCGGGTGATCTGGATGATGTTTGTTTATTTGGAAGATATTTTCGAAACAAAGCACGATAAAATTCAGAATTATATACCATTATTACGAGTACTACTTTTTTGCTCGGATCATGTTTTGACTCCCACACACACTAACTTTAGATTACTGGAGTCAGTAAAATATTACTGGGTTTTTGAATTGCGGATCGCCCAGTAATCATCACAGAAATAATTTGCATTACCGAACTGTCCGTAAAGTCAATCTGTCAAAAATAACTGTTGGTTCGAGTTGCGTATGCTGGAAAATCAGTATTTTGTTTTGTTTATTTTGCTGCAATTTAACTTACAAGACAGTTATTCGGTTCATTATTGTACCGTGTTACCCAGTTATATTTAAAGTAGTTAATGTGCAGTCATAAAAGCACGAATCCTGGTGCAATTCACCGTTTATAATATGCCAATTAATATGACGACTTAATCCCTTGACGTACCCTGGAACAGCGCATCGCGCATCGACAGTGAAAGCAAACAATGCAAACATCCATTTTGTTAATCAAAATTTGTTGGAGATCAAGGAACTGCAAAAAGAGTAAATAATAATTGTTGGTACTAACGAAATAGTTCTTCAATTTCGCTGTCTATTTTGCTGACCAGTCGGTAAAAAATAAAGACTACTTTGTGCACAGTAATTATTTTTACTGACTTTTCGTGATATCACGAAAATTTGGAAATTAACGACTTTCTCAGTAAATAAATATTCTGTGTACAGTATTTTGCATCAAACGATACCGAAGTTCAGTTTGTGTTTTACAGAACGTCGGTTATTCACCTGATTTAAACTGAATTTTCAGTAAATCTTTCGTTTTACGGTGTAAACCCAGTACAAAAAAATACCGAACAAATAAATGCTGGATTAGTGTGCAGAAACTCGCTAGAATAAATAGAAAATAATAGTGTTTTGGTTAACATTTCAAAATTGTATTCAGTTTGACACATTATTTCGAACTTATCACCGCTGCGATTGCAGCGCCACGGTGGCCGATTGAAACTTGGATTTGTCAATTGGTTCAGCCCCATAACGCAAATCATTCAAAACGATGATGTAAATAATTCTATCGAACGGCATTTGCTGATCTGAGCTGACAAACGAGGTGAAAGCATATGCATCGCTATCAGAGCTGTTACGCACAAAGGTAAAGGATGAAAACCAATGTTTGGCTAAATCGTTTCATAGCTCTCAGTCGATCGTTTGCACTTCACTCATTCAGTCCAGTTGATGTACATTTATGGTTCCAACTGAGGCTCGAATAGTGTAGTAGTCAAGCAGTTTAGTCCGGTTTTGGCTCGCTCAGTCGAGTTGTTCGAGTTGCGCGTTTGTTCGTGTCGTAGTGCCGGTTTCATCGTGTGATGGGAAGGCAGCGCTCCCGGAGCAAGCTCCGTGAGAAAGCGGAGAATAGTGGTGAAGGTAGCTCGTGCGTACCTATCACAAATAGGTACGCTACTCTTCCCACCGATGTTGGGAATGCCCTACCAGCGGAAGTGAAGCGGACGAAGAAAAGGAAGAAGAATCAGGGCCAGTCCGATGGTGCGAGTGGCCGTGACACCATGACGAACGTCAGCGACATCGGTGAATTCGGCGTTACCGTCGAGCATGAAAATTCTGCCGTCCCGAGTACGGCAAAAGTCAAGCTTCCTCCACTGGTGGTGATGAAAGTGCCACTCAACACGCTCATTAGCGATCTCACATCGCTGGGCGTTGCAGCTGAATTCAAGCTGAGCAGGATCGGCACCAAGGTGATGCTGCGTACCAAAGCGGAGTACGAAGCAACCGTGAAGTACCTGAAGGATTCCAGGGCGGAATACTTCACACATGACATCCCCGGTGAGAAGCCCTTCAAGGTAGTCATCAGGGGCTTACCGAACTTCAACCCCAAGTCGATCGAAGAAGAACTTAAGGACCGTTACAAGCTAGCCCCAATCGCAGTCTTCCGGATGACGAGGAGAGACGAAAACGTGAAAACGTACCCGGATTGCCTTTTCCTGGTTCATTTCCAGAAGGGAACGGTGACGCTCAATGCGTTGAAGGCCATCCGCTCCATCAACTTCATCATTGTTCAATGGGAGCCATACCGTGGCGGCCGTCACGACGTCACCCAGTGTCAGCGTTGCCTGAATTTCGGGCATGGCACCCGAAACTGCTACATCAATCCGCGCTGTGGCAAATGCGCCCAAAATCATGTTTCCTCCGAGTGCGTTGTCGACGAGTCGGAAACATGCAAATGCGCCAACTGTGGTGGAGCTCATCAAGGGTCCGACAAACAGTGTCCCAAACGCGAGGATTTCAAGCGGATCCGAAAGCAAGCGTCCACAAGAAGCCAACCAGGACGGAAGAAGGAAAACACTCCGGCATTCAGGGTGGAGGACTTCCCGCCTCTTCGTGGTACGCAACACGGTCAAGCAAATCCACGGGTGCAATCCGGCCCCCGTCAAGAAACGTCTGGTGCCTCAGCTGGACAAAGCTCTCCATCCCCCCCTGGATTCTGGAGACAACCAGAAGCACAAAACGCCAATCCCGATCTCTTCTCTGCGGATGAGCTGATGAAGATTTTCGTCGACATGACCAGCGCTCTTCGTCAGTGCCGCAACAAACCCGAACAGATCCAAGTGCTCGGTAAGTTTATCATTCGGTATGGCGTCTAAACCGTTAACTATAGTCACGTGGAACGCTTGCTCTGTACGAGCCAAAAAGTTCGAGCTTGCTGACTTCCTCCGCAAGCATAGTATCGACGTGGGCCTCCTATCAGAGACCCATCTAAAGTCCGGCGACAGCTTCTGGTTGCCTGACCACAACATTATTCGGCTTGATCGCACCAGCTCCAGGGGGGGTGGTGTTGCGGTCGTCGTCAAGAAAGGAATAAAATACCACACTCTGTCTCATATCCGCACCTCTATCATCGAGGCCCTTGGTGTGGAGGTGGAGTCGTCGACTGGATACGTCCAGTTCATCGCCGTCTACTGCCCTCGACAGTGTGCCGCCAGCAGTGGACTAGCGGCTAAATTCAAAAAAGACCTGTCCACCATCACCCGTACCGGTTCCCGCTTCGTAGTTGGAGGAGATCTGAATGCTCGCCATGAGGCCTGGCGGAACTACCAGCAGAACCAGAACGGTCGTCTGCTGTTCGACCACTCACAGCATGGGCTGTACTCCGTTTGGTTTTCGGATGAACCAACATTTATCTCACCGGCTGGCAACCCATCGACGCTAGACCTGTTCCTGACAAATATCGGCTTGTCCAAGCCGGTGGCATTGAACGAACTCAGCTCCGACCACCAACCGGTGGTGGCTGAACTGGGCTGCAACGTGGCTCCTGCTTCAAGCATGCGCAAGGACTACCATCGCGTAAACTGGGCCCAGTTTGGACGCGTGGTAGACAGGCACATCATCGACAACCCGTCGCTTGACACCGTGGAGGACATCGACCGAGCGTTGGAGGGACTCCACCAAGCCATAACCGTGGCTGACGAGGCGTGCGTCCGACGAGTTCCTGTGAGGGGTAAGTTTATTGCCATTGATTCCCACACCCAATTACTGATTCGCTTGAGAAATGTGCGTAGACGCCAGTTCCAGAGAACCGGGGATCTAGCGAGGAGACGTGAAATGGCCGATCTGAACAAGGAGATTGCTTCCAGAATGGTCTCACTCCAGAACGAAAGTTTCGGGCGGCTTGTCCAGAATCTGGACGACCGCTCCAGACCATTCTGGAAGGTAGCTAAGGTCCTAAAGACGCACCCCAAACCCATTCCTCCACTCAAAGATGAAAATGATGACGATCGGCTCATAATCACCCCTCAGGAGAAAGCAAATGCGATTGGTGAGCATATTGCCAAATCGCACTTGCTTGGCTTCAACATCCAAAGTCCGCTCGAAGTTCAGGTAGAGCAATGCGTACTCAACCTTGATTCCTCCCCTTGTGCCATCCCTCCGGAGGATAGAATCACAGTGGAACAGATTTGCTCAACGCTGAAATGCACCAAAAACATGAAGGCCCCCGGGTTTGACGGAATATTCAACCTCGTATTGAAAAATCTCAGCATGAAGGTTCACTCTCTGCTGGCTGCTGTCTTCAACAGATGCTTGGAACTGCACTACTTTCCAAGTATCTGGAAGACAGCGAAAATCATACCTATCCGCAAACCCGGGAAGGACCCAACGCTAGCTTCAAGCTACAGACCAATCAGCCTCCTTTCAGCGCTGAGCAAATTGTTCGAGAAACTCATTCTCAATCGTTTGCTCAAGTTTGTCGAGGAACACAACATTCTCCTACCGGAACAGTTCGGGTTCAGGAAGGGGCACTCCACAAATCATCAGCTAGTACGGGTGATGAATAACATCCGAAGTAACAAGGCTGTATCCAAGTCTACAGCCATGGCATTGTTAGACGTTGAGAAAGCGTTTGATAATGTCTGGCACAATGGGCTTGTATACAAGCTTTGTAACTTCAACTTTCCTTTGCATCTTGTTAAAATCACCCGTAACTACCTTCAGCAAAGGTCGTTCAGGGTATCGTTGACTGGTTGCAATTCAAGCACATTTTCCATCCCAGCAGGTGTTCCGCAAGGAAGTCTGTTGGGCCCTTTGCTATACAGCATCTACACTTCCGACATTCCTCCCTTGGGTAACGGTTGCGTGTTATTTCTGTTCGCAGATGATACTGCTATAACCGTCAAGGGAAGGATGCCTCGTGAAATAACAAACAAGCTTCAACGATGCCTTGACGCCTTTGCTGATTATGCCACCACGTGGAAAATCAAAATCAATGCTTCCAAAACCCAAACAATAATGTTCCTCCATCGGCAATCTCCCAAACTAAAACCAGCTCCCTCTTGTACTGTAATCATGGATGGCACAAGGGTTGAGTGGTCCGCCGAAGTAACCTATCTCGGGATGTTGTTTGACGAAAAGCTCCTATTCCGCTCGCATGTGGAGAAAACCGTAGTCAAGTGTTCCGCCTTGGTTAGGAGTCTGTATCCGCTGATTTGCCGCAGATCCCGCCTCTCAAGGGTGAACAAACTGGCCGTCTACAAACAAATCATTGCACCTGCGATCCTCTACGCAGCTCCGGTGTGGGAATCATGTGCACAGACTCACAGGAACAAAATTCAGGTAGCTCAGAATAGAGTGCTGAGGATGGTTCTTGATCGTCCTTTCGACACTAGAATAACAAATTTACATGAAGAGGCAGGCATTGCCAAAATAGATTCCAAAATTATCGAAATTAAGACTAAATTTGCACAAAAATGTAATTTATCAGAACATGCTTTGATAAGCAATTTGTATATAGTAGGTTAGGTGTACATAGTAGTTGTAGGTTAGTTGTAGTTGTAAATAGTAGTTATAAGTAGTCTCCTTTTTCCAATTCAAATCAAACCAATCCCACCAAGGTGGTCATACTTTAAAATAGACCTGATAGGACTAGGAACTGTAAATAATAATTAAAATCTCACTGTACTAAAGTTGAAAAGACGCATCTGTGTCACTTGAAAAATTCATACATGTAAACCACACAATCACAAGAAATAAAGATCATTTAAATGGCAAAAAAAAAAAAAAAAAAAAAAAAAATTGGCTAAATCGTGGTGGAAAAGGTTGCGGCTGCTGTTGATGCATTCCGGGTACATAGCTGCCAAACTGAACGGCGCCGCACCGATGGCAAAACTGAAAAGAGAAAGAAATAAATAATTATTAAAATTAAGGAACTTTATAACAAAAAATTTTTTGACTTGCAAAAGAGTAGTCCTTACGTTACTCATCTTTGCTGTTTTGGTCAATAAACAAACCATTTGCCATTTAAATGATCTTTATTTCTTGTGATTGTGTGGTTACATGTATGAATTTTTTAAGTGACACAGATGCGTCTTTTCAACTTTAGTACATTTCAGATTTTAATTATTATTTACATTTCCTAGTCCTATCAGGTCTATTTTAAAGTATGACCACCTTGGTGGGATTGGTTTGATTTGTTGAAGATAGCTTGGATATCTTAGCAGCATTACATGCTAGCGATGTACATAGAATAGTTTAATTGACAAATCCAACTTAAACTCCTGCCCGCCATGTGGCAGGAATAGGCACTAACGGTGATAAGTCGGTGACAGCCAATCCTCTGCCATGGTCTTCATGTGCCCCGAGGAATGAGACTTGATAAAACGTGCATGTAAAACCTCCTCCTTCTTAACAACCTCACCTCCTCCCCCCTTAACAATAACCCGAAAAAGACATGGACTTTGACGATCATTTTTCCCGGGGAATAAATTTTAAGCAAACTACAATTATGTAGTTACAATTGATTTTTTACATGCAGGGCCAACATTTTCAAAAAACAATTGCTTAACAGGGACATACACTCGATGGATTACCAAAAACTGACTGTAAAACATGTCTGGTACCTCTATATATGCAATTATATTAACATCCAAAGTCCATCCTATTTTACATATTCTGCACAAAAGAAACTTTCTGCTCCACCCCATTCATAAAAAAGGCGGGAAATCCTATCAGGTTCGGTTGCACATCGTTCTGCTTGATCCTGAAAAGATATAAAACAGCGCTGCTGTCGTGCTTTTGCTCATTGTCGCCTCGGACGGCGTGGCACTTGGTCCTGCAGCAAGCAGGACCAAGTCAGTGGCTAAAGGTGGATCACGGCGTGACCACAATGAAGAATGCGACACAATGAGGAATGAGGAAAAGCAATGTATGTAAACCCCCTCCCCCTTCACAACAACCCCCTCCCCCTTCACAACAACCTCCCCTCCCCCAATAACCCGAAAGGATGGACTTTGACAATCAATTTTTTCCGGGAAATAAACAAACTACAATTATTAGTAAAAACAGAAGTTTTTCCCTTGATTTCTTCCCGCACCATAACTTTCAAATTTGAGAAAAAAGATTGCTTGAAAGACATATTCGATGATATTATGTTGATGGATTACACACCACTCACTGTAAAAGTAGTAGTAGTAAAATTTCGTTTATTTCTGTTGATTATGGTGTATACATTGATTTTACATTTCAATTGATTAGTCTATCTGGCTCTTCATCTTTGTTCATTGGATATTCTAATTTAGTATTTGCGTATTTCATCTAGTTAACAGAATACC